ATTTTTATGATATTTTCTTAAATTTAATTCTTTTCTGGCAAGAGACCATTCCGAATTGTACCTACTTTGCTTTGTATCCCATACCTTGGCTGTCAGCATTACTGTAATGGTCAGAAGTGACTTTTTAATGTATTTGTGATTTGACCGGGATTAAAAATATTCTTATTTTCCGACATAAAAATTAAAGTTTATTTTACCCGCTAAATAATTTCTATTGACCTTCCGAATTGGTAGGCTTCAGCCCAAAACTCTAACTCCATGCAAAACTCCGCGTCAATAGGTTTATAATTGTGGCCTATGGAGCAACAGAAAAATAAGGAAAATCTTCTGTTTTTGGTCCATTTCCACCCCTTAATATTTTGCGATTATCTCCAAAAACTAAAGGCGTCTATTCTGACCCTAATCCCACCTCTATTTTCAACTTCTTGAGGATCGGGCCATAATTGCGACATGTAGCGTGATTACAAAATAACATGGCAAGACGGGCGTACATACATAGCTAGATCGTTTCGGTATTTTGATGATTTCAGCAACACTATTCGCAGGAATCGTTTCAAATTTTGTATGTTCAGAAAATTCTAATGGGTACTAAATCCTATGGAAAAAATTTGTATGCAGGTTCAGATCTTCGTATAGCCCCCATACACTGGTACCTCCCGATATTCGGTATTTCTATGATTTTAGCGACATTATTTACAGGAATTATTTCGTATTTGAAGTTCGTAATGGGTACTACAGCCTATAACAAAAAGCTGTATATGCAGGTTCACATCTTCGTATAGCCCCATATAATGGTACCTCCCTATAATTCCGTGTTTTCATGATTTCAGCAACATTATTTACCGGAATCGTTTCAAGTATTTAAAGATCTTAATGGGTGCTACAACTTAAGGAAAAAAAGTTCTTATGCAGTTCCACACCTTCGTATACCCTCCATATGACGGTACTCCGTATTTTCATGATTTTTGCGACATTATTCACCGTAATTGTAACAAATTTCGTATTTCAAGATTTCGTATGCAGGTCCACGTCCATATAACGGTTTTCATTTAAGTGGTAGTTTTCGGATTTTTTGAAATTTTTCAATTTCGAAATGGTGGAGGGTATTAAAAGTTAGGCCCTGCCGTATTGAGCTGCTTTTTTACTTGTTCCACCTTGCACCTGGCTTCGAAAAAAAAAATTTTAAAAGTATTACTTTAAGGTCTTTTGAACACTGATATTTAACAAATTACTGTTGGTCTGCGACAATTCCGTGCACCTTTGCTTCCTTCTCGTCCATGTTAAATGAGGCTCGTATCACAATTAATGAATTTGAAACCAGCGATTATTTTTCACTTGGATTTGTTTATTTCATTGAATTTTATAGAATCAAACAGAATGTTCAACTTGGTGCCTAATTACTTACTGTGCCTGAATGTGTCAGAATGTTGAATGAAAAAATAACAAAACGTTTTTCTTTCGTTCAACAAAATAAACAAATACATTTTTTATAGTCTCGCATTTCATATAAACAAACTTTTTCAAATAAAGACACTCGGCACTTAGGTTGGATTTCTGAAATTCACTCGAAATACTCTGTTTTCATCACCGAATAAATACTCAAACAACCAACCAACTCCAATGAGGAACTATTACACTGGCTCTCTTTCTTTTGTACTCACAAACTCAACCCCTCAGCAAATGCTCTTTTGAAGACATAACAACCGTAATTGTGAGAGGATAGAGGGTGGTTATGTACCGGAAATGCACTTAACAATTTCGAAACAACAACAGATCACAGTTATGTTGCAATACCCGTTAAACATATGTACTTCGCTACATAAAAAGTGTGAGAGAGAGAGAGAGAGGAAGAGAGTGGGGGAACATAATAAACTTGATGATGGCATTGGTTGCGGTGATAATTGTGGATGCCTTTTTGGGATAAATGAAACTGTTACATGGAACGAGAAATGAAATGAAAATAACCTTGAACTACTTTCGGCCAGGAATCTACAATTGAATATTGACAACTAGACGTGGCTTAACGAAATAAATTTTTACAAAATAATGTGTGTTCATGTTTCAAGGAGCGATGAAAAAACGAAGAGTGCAAATATTTGCAATGTGCTTGGAAAGACTTCAACCGACACTGAATGTTGCTCTTGTTCTACTTAAGTTTTTGTTTGACATTTCCGTTGGTGTTTTGACAGTTTCCTTTTTTTGTTGTTAGAATAATTCCCGTTAAGTTATTTGTATGAGAATGAGTGTGTGTGAGTGTGCGTGCGAGAGAGTGTTTGTTTTGTTTTTCTTTGACCAAACCAAGGTTGTTTCTTAGACAGTCGATTTACATTCCATGTAATTAGAAGCGTCTGCAATACTAGGGTGGTTTAAGAATATTTTTTGAACAGAGGTAAGCAAATCGTCAAAAGAGATTTTATTAGATAATAATTCATTCATTTAGTTAAAATTTTAAAGCATGGATTAAGTAATTTAAAAAAGAAATTATTTAAAGAAATAACAAATTTAAGAGAAATCAGAATTTGTTGATCATGTTCATTGTTTCAGAAACGTATAGTATACTTTTAGGCAGAAAGAACTTTAAGCAAGAGAATAACAAGTCTATATTGGAACTAAAAGTTTTGTAAGTTCGGCCGGGCCGAACTTTGAATACCCTCCACCATTTGGAACGTATTTGGCAATTTTCAAAAAAGTAAAATCCGTTAAAAATATTTGTTAAAATCTTAAAAATACCGAATGTAGACGTTATATTAGGATCTATACGACGAGGACCTGCGTAGGCAACTGTTGTCATAAGCCATTGCAACATTCAAATAAAAAACTTGAAAAAAAATCGGTGAATAATGTAGCCATTATATGGGAGCTATACCAAAACGTGGACCTGCATAGATAATTTTTTTGTCACAGGCTGTAGTATTCATTACGAACTTCAAATACGAAATTTGAAACAATTCCGGAGAATAATGTAGCTAAAATTACCAAAATACCGAATATCGGGAGGTACCATTATATGGGGGCTATATCAAAACGTGGACATGCACAGACAATTTTCTGTTATAGGCTTCAAACAATTCCGGTGAATAATGTCGCTTAAACCATCAAAATACCGAATATCGGGAGGAACAGTTATATGGGGGCTATACGAAGACGTGGACCTGCACAGACAATTTTCTGTTTTAGACTGTAGCATCCATTATGAACATCAAATACCAAATTCGAAACAATTACAGTGAATAATGTCGCCGAAATCATCAAAATACCGAATATAAGGAGGTACTCTTGTATGGGGGCTATACGAAGACGTGAACCTGCACAGACAATTTTCTGTTTTAGGCTGTAGTATCCATTATGAACTTCAAATACCAAATTTGAAACAATTTCGATGAATTATGTCGCTGAAATCATCGAAATACCAAAAATCGGGAGGTACCATTATATACCGAGCTATGGGAGCTATACCAAAACGTGGGCCTACATGACCCATTTTCAATACCAAAAGTTCTGCACACATAATATACATTTCAGTAAATTTTTTTCAACCTACTTAATTTCGTTCGGAAGCTAGAGTGATTTCCACATACGGACAGACGGACGGACGGACACTGCTAAATCGACGTAGAATTTTATACTGATCAAGAATATATATATTTGTGGGTTCTAAAATGAATATTTCGGGGTGTAACAAACGGAATGACGAACTTAATATACCCTCCGTACTATGGTAGAGGGTATAAACAATAATAATGGGATTAAGCATGAATATGTTGCAACAACAAAATACTACGGTAATTCGAACAAACATGCCAACACTCTTCTAAGAATAAAATATATAAATAAGTACGAAATATCGGAAAGCCAAAACTTTTGATATTAATGGAGATGGGACGTCCCCTGGCTACATAGTTAATGCTCTCCATACCTGGAAGAATCTGCCTTATTCTTAATTTTACAAAGAAATCTTTTGCCGTATTCTACAGGTCTTCAAGACCTTTGGTGATAGACACATCCAGTGAGAGTTTGCAATTAATTCGCCTCGATAAAAGACAAATCTCCCTGTTACTAAACTTTGGATCCCTATATTTCGGAAAGCATAAAAGATCTTTCACAGGAACTTAGCTCTTAGCTGATGGCCTCCTTTCAAATTATTGTCAATGTAGTTGAATTACTGCTTGTGTAATGATCTTTTAAATTAGGGAAGTAAAACGAAATTTTAAGATGTGACTCTCTTTCGCTATATCTATGTCATATTTCATAGATTCTGTGCTTCATTTTCAGGGATTCCCTTTTTAATGCAATGAAATATACTTTCCCATCACTGTCTTATATGTATTTATTCCTTTCTGACAATTACAAATTAAAGGTTGCCTTTGTAAAAAAAACGCACTAAGGGATTTGGGGTTGATAATCCATTCAGGAATTACTTTACAAATGTAGACAACAAACCGCTTACAACCACTTTTCCACATTTCCCTTTTCATAACACCCTCTTTTTTAGTTGTAATGTTAAAAAACGGCCGAGATGCAAAACAAAAACAATGCGTGTCCCTGATGATGCCAAAGTTCATGCGAATGTGTTTTTGTACAAAGAAAATCTTCTTCTTGTTCTCAATGCAATTCTCTAACGTGTTGTGGGTGGGTGGGTGTTTGGTTAGTTGTTGCTGTTTATTTAATACAGTAGCATATAGTTGAGAACATATTACGAGTAAATTGGAGGAGAACATGTTCAACATTGGCAATTGACAATAGATATGGAAAGAGAGAGAGAGAGAACAGAGAGTATGTGTTTTTTTCCCCAACTCAAATTGAGGGATGCAAAGAGCGAGCTCTAGGAAAACAGCTGTTTTTAATGCGGGAATAACAAAAACTAAATGACACTGGTTAATGCCAAACGAATAGAAAAACCAAGGAGATAATAGACGTCAGTCAATGCTATTTGGTTATTTTTTTTCTGTCGCAAAGAAAGAAAAACAAGGATTTGGGAGTTCTTTTTCGGGGATAGTTACCTTGATATTTTCTATGTAACTGGAGTTGTTCGAAGGAAACCAGTCTCGTCAGTTAATGAATGGAGAGATGTTGGTTGGCTGCTACTGCTTGCTCTTGGTTAATTAGGTTTTTTGTATCGTTGTTATTTTTCTTAAACGATTTCTTTCTGAAATGATTAAAAAATCCGAATATAACACTATTATGAAATTGTATATTATTTCAAACATTTATTTATTTTACATCACTTTCTGCTTTGGTTTTTTGGCTTTGTTGCTAGATAGGTATTTTCGTTGTAATATTTTGCTTTCTTAATTTACAGTGGGTGTCAATGAAAGTACACACCACAAGTATATGTGCAATTGTTCATGTTCTAAATTGAAAAGTCGCGTTTTTTAATAGCTGTTGTAAATTTTAAAGTTAAACTAAAATCTAACAGTTGAATAACGTTTTTTTGAATAGTGATAGACATTTCCATCGCAAGTTCGTCTAGTTCATCGTATTAGGAAATCTGATTAATAAGTATTGCATTAAAAATACTGTGGTCAAAAATAAGCAATTGACGGTAAAACAAGGTAAATAGTATTAGCCGATTTTGCCGACAGATGTATACCACCAGCCTTGAGTTATGATTATTCTAACTTTTGACCCTTCATGAAGGAGTTTCCGAAACTTTTGGAAAATGTGAAAAAATGCGTAAGGTACCAGATAAAGCGGACCGAAATATTCAATATTCAATAGCATGCGTGAAATTTGATGAGAACCGGATGCTTATTTCGGATATGGCTAAAATAATAAAAATACTGACTACCTTGTGGTACCGCTACATGGGAGCTATAGGATAGAGTGAACCTATATAGATAATGTTTTGTCACAGAATATATAACTAATTATGAACTCTAAATGCAGAATTTTAAACCATTCGCCCAACGTGGGACAATATTACGCAAGGAACTGCAGTTTCAGAACTTATTTACTGATTGGAAACAATCAAAAGATAGAAAAGTCGACTATTTCGATAAAAAATATATTAAAATACTATTTTTCCTGGCCAAAATATACATGTACAACTTTGAAATGTAAGATTTGTGAAATATTTTTTGTGTTTTCGTCCTTTTTGGTGGATTTTAGAATTAAAAAAATAAGATAAGATCTATCGATAAATAATGTGGTTAACTTCTGTTTCACTTTTTACATGAAAATATTGCTATTGGAAGGTCACTGATTTTTGTCAGTAAGTCTAAAAAGGTTAGAGAATGACACAAATAAATTGTATGTAATTTGGTCCGGTTTCGGGTCTGTAACTGATCGAATGCTCACTGGCAAACTTTTTTGTATTTGAATAGGTTTTGGTTTTATTCATTCAATATTAAGCTCTAATTTTAGGCATATTTTCAAAACTATATCGAAATGTTGAAATTTTAATAAACTATTCAATAATAGTTTACGATACTTTGCCAGTGGCAGCCGATGTGGCATATTTTTTATTGAACCGATTTAAATAAAATTCTATACAGTCTAATCAAAAACCCATTTTCGTTATATCGATTTACTATAATTTTTTTTTTAAAGAATACTTTATGTTAACATTTCATTGACGTTCACTGTATGTATATTATTTGATGGCAACTTAACAAATCTGCCGTCGTAGGCAGCAGACATCAAAAATAATTATTTTTTGTTGTTGGTTTCTTTTAATCGTATATGTGTATATTTTCTCAGTAGCACTTTTGGTACCGCCACAGACTCTGGGTACAAGAAGATCCGACCGTAGAGACGTATGCGGTTATTTTTAAAATTGAAAACACAAAAAATTATACATAAACCCGGACAGACAGGACCATAAATATTTTCACTTGTTTCATTACTTGGCGTTTTGTTTTTTCGTCTTCTTCTTCTTCTCGTTATTTATTTCTTTTTTTTTTTTTGCTTTGTTGGGAGATTATTGCCCAATATTACGCGGTAATAGACAGAGGGAGGCTAGACAATGCGTTGGATGGACCTGCCGTTCTCTTCACCTTTTACCATGATGGGGATTGGCAGGTCACATTGGCAAATATTTTTCACAAAATAAAAAAACTTGTGGCTGAATGGAGGTTTTTTGGGCATTAACTTGTGCAAGTAATTTATTTATAATTATTTATTTAAAAACAAAATATTAAATTGACACTTTTTCGGATATTCCACTATTTTATCATGGATTCTTTTGCCTTCATTAAAATACCTGACTGTCTGTTGTAGTATCTTGAACGTTGCTCTTAATTTCCCCTTTTTATTTGTTGTTGCTTTTTTGCTTCTTTAATATTTTCATGTATACACACATTCACATCAACATACATACAGCATATATTCAAAAGGGGCTGCTGAAGCTACTACAACGTTGACGACGACCACCACCACCACGAGCGTTATTCTTGCCGTTACCCTGTATTATTTAGCGGTACTTTTTTGCTTCGCTTTACAAAATTCTGTTTTTCTGTTTACGAACCGTTTCTTTTGCAACCGTTCTCGTCTCAATGAGTTTGACAACTGACTAACCAAAACAGTTCCCAATCATATTTTGGCCTCCTCCGCGTGCTGTGTTCTTGTCGTTGTTGTCTTATTATGTTTTTGAGTGGAAAATTGCTCGGGCACTGCGATTGAGAATGGTGAAGGAAACAGCCAAACAAACAGGAAGGAATATTAGCAACATTGAAATGTGAGAATTTGTCAAAATAAGGCACCAGAGAGCGAGAGAGAAACTAAGAATTGTTTATAGCGGTAAAAATAGCGCATGTCAGCAGAAATGCCTTAATACTCACGGACACACATGCTTCTATGCTATTTGATGTCGTTACGATACGAATAAACACAGGGTGTCTATGAAGAAACATGTATTCATATTACCGTTATGACTATCTTTTAAAAAGTGAAATATCTTTTAAGGATTTCTTAGACAAAGTAATTTCGTGTATCATGAAATACGTATTATTTTTCGTCTATTATTGAATCGATTCCAGATCAGACCGTCGAAAGTATGTTAGTTTTGATAAAATTGGAACTTCGCTACACTGAATTATGTTGTTGTTAGAGGTATTATAAAGTGTGTCCTAACTATAGGTGTATCTGGTTACCCTAAAATTTGCAACAATTGTTACAAATTGTTACTGGAAGTCTTCTATTAACCCGAAAGTTCTGCAAAAGAGAGCGGTTGGAGAGAGAAATTTTGACAGTTCTTTCAGAGAGAGTTTGTTTTTGGGAAAGGATTCCGGGCAACACATCAAATCTATATTTCTTTTATTGCTCATATTTGTATTTTATTGCTAATTTCCTTTTTATTATTAATAAAACTTTTAAAATTGGTGTTGCTTTTTATATCCCCCCGCAATACTATGGAGGGTATATTAACTTTGTTATTCCGTTTGTAACTCCTCGAAATAATCGTGTAAGACCCAACAAAGTATATATATTCTGGATCAGCGTAAAATTCTATGTCAATTTTCTGTCATAGGCTATAGTATCTACTACAAACATGAAATACCAAATTTGCAACAATTCCGGTGAATAATGTCGCTAAAATCATTTAAATACCGAATATCGGGAGGTACCATTATATGGGGGCTATACAAAGACGTGGACCTGCACAGAAAATCTCATATCATAGGCTGTAGCATTCACTACGAACATCAAGTACAAAATTTGAAACAATTCCGGTGAATAATGTCGCTAAAATCATTTAAATACCGAATATCGGGAGGTACCGCTATATGAGTGCTATACGAAGACGTGGACCTGCACAGACAATTTTCTGTCTTAGGCTGTAGTATCCATTACGAACTTCAAATACCAAAGTTGAAACAATTCCAGTGAATAATATCGCTAAAATCAAAAAAGTACCGAATATCGGGTGGCTATACGAAGACGTGGACCTACATGGCCCATTTTCTGGCTTAGGCTGTGGTATCAATTACGAACTGCAAATACCAATTTTGAAACAATTCCGGTAAATAATGTCGCCAAAATCATCAAAATACCGCATATCGAGAGGTACCGTTATATGGGGGCTATACGAAGACGTGAACGCGCACAGACAATTTTCAGTCTTAGGCTGTAGTATCAATTTCGAACTTCAAATACCAAATTTGAAACAATTTATGAAAACAATATATGAAAAAGTGGTCCTACATGATCCATTTACGAACTTAATCTGCCTACTCACAAAAGAAACATGGGTGTAAAATTGTATCCTTCTATCTCAATTCGTTCGAAAGATAGCGTGATTTCAACAGACAGATAGATGGTCAAGAATATATATACTTTGTTGGGTCTGACATGAGTATTTCGAGGAGTTACAAATGGAATGACAAAGTAAATATACCCTCCATAGTATGGTGGAGGGTATAAAAAGCTTGATTTTGTGGTTGATCTAGAGGTCACAATTATAAACCAATCATGAGCATTTTACATTAGTCTATGGTATGGGGCTGGGCAAACACCTTCCAATTTGGAAGACCATCGAACAATATTTAATAGATCAAAAAACCATAACTTTCAATAAAATAATACAATACAATAATACAAAAATCCATTAAACAGCAAATTGATGTTATTCTATCAAAATCACAAATGCACGAAAAAGCCAATTCTGACCTTTATAATGATGCTGATATCCAAGATATCGCATATATAGCAAATTATATACCATCTCATATATCAGAGAAGGGGATGTTAGTTAGATTGTTAGATGATAGTTTATAACTCAAGAACGACTTAAACTTAAAATCGCATAAAAATGTGAATATTTCTTTTTATACCCTCCACCTTGGAAAGGAGCGTATATTAACTTTGTCATTCCGTTTGTAACATCCCAAATATTCGTCGTAGACCCCATAAAGTGTATATATTTATAATCAGCACATTTTTTTGCGGATTTGTCTAAAAATTGGAATTTGTTAGTCATAATGGGTTCTGGCTGCGGTGGCGAAACATTGTATGTGTAAGTCCTCGTTTTGGTATAGCCTCATATATTGGTACCTCCTGATATTCGATATTTTAATGATTTTTGCGACATTTTGCCACGAATATGTCTAAAAATTAGTATTTGTGGGTCACAATGGGTTCTAATGTTTCCTTTACCCTAGGTTGGAGGGTATTTAAAGTTCGGCCCGGCCGAACTTAATGTCTTTTTACTTGTTTTTTTTTTTGTAATATTTTGTGTTTTTATACCCTTACCATATATTAAGTTCGTCATTCCGTATGTAACTCATCGAAGTACTCATTTTAGACATAACACATTCTTGATCAGCATAAAAGACGACTTAGCCCTTTCCGTCCATCCGTCTGTCCCTCTTTTGGAATCACGCTAGACTCAAAACGATTAAAGATAGAAAGCTAAAATTTTGCACAGATCAGTCGTTTGTCTGCAGGCAAGTCAAATTCGAAGATGGGTTATATCGGCCCACGATATCGTATAGCCCCCGTAAAACGTAGCCACATTTTTCAATGAAATTGTCTGAAAATAAACACGAGTAGTTCCTTTTGAGTACTTTACCGTCTGGAAGAGAATTGTCTATATAAGTATACGATATCGTATAGCCCCCTTACAACAGTATCGAGGATATTCGGAATTTGATGATTGTATCCAAATTTTTCAATAAAATTGTCTGAAAATCCACATAAGCACTTCGTTCTGAGTACTTCATCCCCTGAAAGATTATTGTCTATATAGGTCCACTATATCGTTTATCCCCAATTTAACGGTATATACTCGATATTTTGATGATTTTAGCAACTTTTTTTAAATGAAATTGTCTAAAAATCCGTACTAGAAGTTCTTTCCAAGCACTTTACTCCCTGGAAGAGAAATATCTATATAGGTTCAAGATATCGTATAGCCCACATACAACGGTACAGGGGTTCTTGAAAATTTCCAAATTCGTTCCAAATGGTGGAGGGTATTCAATGTTCGGCCCGGCCGAACTTACTGCTTTTTTACTTGTTTCATACTACATCTATGATGATTATTCGAAAAGGGGAGGAGCAATAAGTTCAAAAATTTACTTTTATTAGGTATAAGGTATGAGGATTTTGCTAAGGGAATTTTCATTCCAGACAAAAAATGTCATATATGCTGAAACTTTACAGCAAATTGTAGTGTTCTAGGCTATAAAATGGCCGGCTCTAACCGACTCTAGCCTTTGCTTAGTTGTTTCATTCAATAACTAATTGAACGCATAATGAATTGGCTGTCTACAAAGTCGATCATAATCAAGCGTTAAACATTTATAATATCTTATCTAAGGGGGAAAATCGCCGGCATATAACAATACGGAGCGGAAACAGCAGCAATTTTCTTCAGTTGCTCTCCAAACATTGCCTGCAATTTAACAAAGCAAACACAAAGGATGATTCGCAAATTCTTTGGGTTGCTTATCCTATGGCATTCTCTCAAAAGTGTAAGGGGTGATAGCCACCCACTCGTAAAAGGAGATGTTGGCGTTAGTGCGGAACTTCTGGAATATACCCACGTGGCATTAAACTTAACAAAGCTCTACATAAGTAGCCACACCAACGCTTTGGTCATAATGGAGAAATGTTCCGGCTTAGTTTGCCGAAGGCAAACACTAAATCATGATTTCCTTTTGGAGTACTTTTTAAGAAATCTCAGTTGTGATATCAGTGTCCAGTTGGAATTTGGTAGACCGGATGTAAGGCCATGGGATTATAATCTCTTTGTCATTGATTCTGCCAAGGCATTTGAGTAAGGGCGTTTCCGAAACAAATGAAACTATATATGAAAATATTATTTTTTTCCCAACAGGGCTCTGCGTCTTCAACTGCCGGGACCGTCAAAGAATCGTCAATTTTATTTCTTCATTCTACTTACCTGCTCCTCGGCACATCCCACCTATGTCAAGCAACAAATGTATAAAATATTTAAAGTTTGTCTACAAATCGGTGTTAAAAATGCCGTCATTATGCATCGCTATTCCGCTGGAGCGTACATCAGCTTCTACACCTACTATGCCTTTGGCCGTTTCCATTGTTGGGACGACATAACCATACGAGAAATAAATCGCTTCGAAAATGGTAGCTTAAGTGGAAATTATTTATTTCCCAAACAGTTGCGAAACTATCACGGCTGTACAATAATGGTGAGCGCTCATCTGGTGGCACCGTTACTTAGCTTCAACGGGGATTTTACCAATGAGCAGCATTTGCGTGATAAGTCACGAATTGCCGGCATTGAAGGAGATATTTTGAAAACGGTAGCCGATACACTGAATATGAATTTAAAATTTCGTTTTCCGCTGAATTTGAATAAGAAGTTCATGTTTTCGAATAGGACGGATTCTCTTGTGGATGTAAGTATTGTGCAATAGATGGATATACAATTGTTGTTATTTAGATACATACAAAATAAATACTTTTTATTATACGTTTGATTGGGCTAAAAATTATATAACACCTTGGAATAGTGGTCCCCAAAATAGGGTGTTATTTATGGATCTTTATATTTCCCCAAGCTGAGTCGATCTAGCTATATGTGTCCGTCCGTCCGTCTATCCATGTCAAATTGTAATCCCACCACAAGTCGCAAGGGGAAAAGAATAAAATTTAGAAAAATCGCATAAAAATATGCTAAAAAATGTGAATATTTTTCCCTAATATTTGTATACCCTCCACCTTGAAAGGGAGGGTGTATTACTTTTGCCTTTCATTTTGTAGCATCCCTGAATATTTTTTGTAGACCCCATAAAGTATATATATTCATGATCACCATAAAATAATACGCCGATTTAACAATGTTCGCCTGTCTGTCTGTCTGTTGAAATCTCGATACAGCCCTCATCATTTGACGTAGAGCTTCAACATTTGTATGGTGTCTAGGATGGTTAGTATTGAAAATGAGATATATCGTTTCATATTGCTATATCTAAATATTTCTCTCAATCAGAAACCTGAGATGAACATGGACTTTATGATTCCTATAAAATGGGATATAAAGGTTCGATTTTCTTGCCGAGTGATACTTTTTAACAGTTTTTTTTTAACATTATCCAAACTGTCTTACTGGTGTTTGTAGCTTAAAAAGGAACACGATTTCGAAGTCGTCCTATATTTCTCATTTAAGGACCAATAGACATGGAATTTTATTGAGGGATCTACATTTTCAAATATAGTTTTGAATATCCAAATACAGATTTGGATGACATCGTAGTTTCGGCCTAAAACCAAGATAGGCAGGGAAACAAATGTTTGAATGCGAAATTTATTTATCGATGCTTTTTCTATACCCTCCATGATGATCAGCATAAAATTCTATGTCGATTTAGCGATGTTCGTCCGACTGTCCATCTATCCGTCTGTCTGTCTGTCTGTGGAAATCACTCCCTCTTCCGAACGAATTGAAGTAGATTGCATGACTTTTGGTATTGAAAATGTGTCATGTACGTCCACGTTTTGGTATAGTCCCCATATAACGATACCTCCCGATATTCGGCATTTCGATATTTTTAGCGACAATATTAATCGGAATTGTTTCAAATTTGGTATTTGAAGTTCGTTATGGATGCTACAGCCTAAGGCAGAAAATTGTCTGTGCAAGTCCACGTCTTCGTATAGCCCCCATATAACGGTACCTCTCGATATTCGGTATTTCGATGATTTTAGCGACATTATTCACCGGAATGGTTTCAAATTTGGTATTTGAAGTTCGTTATGGAGTACAGCCTATGACAGAAGATTGTCTGTGCAGGTCCACGTCTTCGTATAGCAACCATATAACGGTACCTTCCGATATTCGGTATTTTGAGGATTTTAGCTACCTTCTTCACCGATTTTTTTAAGTTTCGCATTTGAATATTGTAATGACCTATGACAAAAGTTACCTCTACAGGTCCATGTCGTCGTATAGACCTTATTATAACAGCTACATTCGGTATTTTTAAGATTTTAACAGACTTTTTAACGGATTTTATAGTTTTTGAGAATTGACAAATTCGTTCCAAATGGTGGAGGGTATTTGAAGCTCAACCCGGCCGAACTAACAGCTTTTTTTACTTGTTTAGAGATCACATGTTTCTGAAAAATATGGTTCCAGATTTAAAATGATTGTTCGAAAGAGGAACGGAAAGGTTCAGCATTTTCTTTCAATATGTGGTTGATGTGGGCATGCTTCATAGGGGAATTGTTATTGTAGTCAAAAGGGTTTTAGATTTAGGGTTTAGATTTTAGATTTATCGCAAATTGTAGTTTTGTAGGGTATCAAAGGGTCGGCCCTGCCGGCTATAGCCTTTGCTTACATGAATTAATAAATATTTTAAAAGAGCTATAACCTCATATTGCCCTAAGACGACATAGGGCAAATGGTACTCAAATGCAACTTCGTGTCATGGACTTTCATTTGGAATTACAAAACTTTAAGTTTGGCCCAATGTTAAAGTGTGTGGAAGAAATAAATCTGAGTTTTGAGAAATTTTAACTAAAAGGGTACGAAAATCACTTAAATGTACTAAGTACTGTTTCCTGGAATTTTAAAATCTGGTTGTGTGTATGGGTAGAGATATGGATGTGTTTTTGAAACCCCAAACAAAAATATAATAAAAGAAACTAACCGATGAAAGCTATCATAAATATGTTTGGAATTTCTGTTATTGTTGGTGTGTGTGTGGGTAAAAATTAGGCTGGGTTTTTCGAAGTACATACTAAAATAACCATAACCTTAACATTACGGAATACTGAGTAGGGATTACTACTGGTTTGTAGATTTTGTCAATTTGACTTCAAAGATTTCCATGATAATATGAAATGGCAGGTTTTATTGGGTGGAAAGGGAGATCCGGTCATTGACGTGGCCAGAATTGTTCTTCGGAACCATTTTAGCCATATTATTTCAAAGTGCTTTTGTACATGAACTTAAACTATTTGTTTTGAAAATTTCAGCTCACAGAAAATCGATCGGAAATTGCAATTGGAGGTTTGAGTCCCATACTACCGGATACCCAACAATTTACCTATTCTTCTGTCTATCATACCACACCGGGTGTGTTTGTGGTGAAAAGAGGATTAAGTTTTGGACCTCTCAAGCAACTATTGAAGCCCCTCGACACCAATATATGGATACTTATCATACTTCAATGGCTTGTGGCTGTGGTATTGATACAGCTGGTCCAACGTTTTGGTAACCTGACATTATGGAATTTCATATTCGGTCCGCACAATCGACATCCAATGAGAAATATGTTTATGAGCTATTTAGGTTATCCCATTCCAACAGCTGCAGTACCGGGGAGGAATTTTGCACGATTTTTACTTATGGCTTGGCTATTGCTGACCTTTGAATTGCGTAATGCCTATCAGGGTAAAATGTATGATAGCCTTAGGTTGGCCAAACGTCTGCCGGTACCGAGGACAATAGACGATCTCATCAGGCATGACTATACTTTACTTTCTCACGAGTTTAATGATTTCTATCCTCACAATAAGACACGCATTATGAGCAATGCCTTCATGAGATTGCACAGAATCAACTCCAGTCATCACAAGTTGACCGCCATGGCACTGCTGGACTATTTGGCTGATTTTAATGCCAGAAATTTGCACAACACTTCGTTGACGTACGTGGAGGAAGATATCTATTCGTTTCAGTGTGTTATGATGTTTCGTAGATATTCGGTTTTGCCGGAGAGTATTAATCCGAAATTGAAATTACTCACAGATGCGGGAATTACCGATCACATTGCCAAGCGTTATGTTCGCTGGCAAAAGCAACGTGGCAACCGACGTGGTGCAGTTCCTACGGGTATTCAAGAAATAACCAATCATAAGTTACGTGGTGTTTACAAGGGCTATGGCGTACTTTGTGCTTGTGCTGTACTGGTGTTTTTCCTCGAAATGTTGACATTCAAATTTGGGATACTAAAGAAGATTATGGATTATTTGAACTAAGTAAAATTAATAAAACCAATTTTACGGTAAGGCTGATTCGGTCGGTGGTTTTTCAATAAAACAAATTTATTTCACTTTTCAACTCAGCATCCTAACGACAAAAATATAATATCTTAGCAACCAGAAATCCTGTAGATGTAGTAGATTTTTTTGAATGGTGACAATCGGTTCATATTTAGATATAGCTCCCATATATATTTTTAATCGATTTCGGGTTAATTGTGAACCAAATAGCCAATATTAATCTAAATGGATGAATTTTGGCAATTGTAACTGAATTGAGCCTAGAAGCACGTACTTCAAATTTGATATAGCCATAGCTCCCATATATAAGTTTCATCCGATTTGGTGTTAAAGTCCCTTACATGCGGAATATGCAATTTAAAGCGATGACATTTGTTACCGGACATCAGATAATGCTCGAAAATGCCTCTGTCAAATTTTATCGAGATCGGATCAGATTAGGATGAAGATATATTATATGGGAGCTGTATAATATATTTTTATCCGATATAAGGTTTTTTGTGCACCAAATGGCTAATATCAGCCTAAATGGAGTGAAGTTTGCCACTTCCGACGGAATTCAACCTAAAAGCAAGTGCTTCAAAGTGAGATGAAGAAACTGCAACCAACTTCAGACTGCTGTCATTTCTAAGGCACTCGTCCGACAGCTGTTAAAATTATTTCAGTGGCAGTTCATTATACAGGGTTGCCCATATTCGACGGAATCATCTGGCAACGCCATAACTTTTGACAGAGATGTCACATCGCTTAATGACATACCGCGTTTGAAGCGTCAGTCCAAGCAGATTTTTACCATGAACCAATACACAGCGCTCTGAAATAGTTGAAATTTACATTCTACAGAAGAAGTCAATTGTGAAAACTCAACGTGCTTTTAAAACATTAAAAAATGTGAGAAATGCGCCTTCTAAGAACACCATTAAGCGTTTTTACGAAAAATTTTCGACTGGTACGGCTCTTTCTAATCTAAGGCGATCGGCCGAGAATATCGCTGCCGTACGAGCCAGTGTTGAGAGGTCCCCAAGAACATCCCAAAAACGCCGTTCTCAGCAGTTGGGCATGGCTCAATCCACTTTACAACGGATTATTCGCATTGATTTGCATTTGTTCCCGTACAAAATTCAATTGACGCAAAGAATAAAGCCTGCGGACAAGCCTCGTCGATTGGAATGGGCCCAAAGGGCCGTCGAATATGGGCAACCCTGTATTGTTTATAAGCGTACAAAAGCATTTTGGTGAAAATTTTCCAGAAAAAAGTTATTCGTGATGGAATTCAAGCGTGATATTATAATTGGCTGGAAAACCACAAGTGGCTATCGTTAGAGCACTCCAGCATTTAAATGTGAATAAATCTTCTGTGTCTCGTACCATCGCTCGTTATAGTGATACTGGTAGCGTAGCCCAACGTCAAGGAAAAGGACGGAAGAAAACAACAACATCAGCAGAAATGGTTCGAAAAGTAAAGAAGCGACTGATCGAAACTCGCGTCGCAGTAGCCGAAATATGGCTCGTGAGCTGAACATATCGCAATATTCCATTCGGCAAATATTGAAAAATGAGCTCGGGGTAAAGCCATTGAAATTCCAAAAGTGCAAGAACTCACACCAATAGAAAGAAAATAGACTCAAAGGAGCTAAATAGTTACTTCGCTTGGCCGAAAGTGGTGAACTGTGGAATTTGGTTTTCCCCGATGAGAAAACATTCGTTGTAAAACAAATGATCGTGTTTTCTTGCCAAAGAGGTCAGCTGAAAATGTGCACCTTCGGTTGGCCACCAGAACTCAAACGCGGCCATGGTGATGGTGTGAGCCGCCATAACAGCCGATGTTCGTTCTCCACACGTATTAATCGACCGTGGCATCAGAATAAATGCCGAATATTGTCGCGAAAATATTTTGAAGGGTGTATTAAAGCCTTGGGCATGCAAACATTTTGGTCGCAGACCTTGGACATTCCAACAGGACTCAGCACCATCGCACTCAGCACGCGCCACCCAAGAACGGTTACAAAATCGCTTGGCCGAAAGTGGTGAACTGTCGAATTTGGTTTTCTCCGATGAGAAAACATTCGTTGTAAAACAAATGATCGTGTTTACTTTCCAAAGAGGTCAGCTGAAAATGTGCACCTTCGGTTGGCCACCAGAACTCAAGCGCTGGCCATGGAGATGGTGTGGGCCGTCATAACACCCGATGGCCGCACTCCGCTGGTAATAATCGACCGTGGCATCAGAATAAATGCCGAATATTGTCGCGAAAATATTCTGGAGGGTGTATTAAAGCCTTGGGCATGCAAACATTTTGGTCGCAGACCTTGGGCATTCCAACAGGACTCAACGACATCGTACTAAGCACGCGCCACCCAAGAACGGTTACAAAATGAGGTTCCTCGCTTCATTTCCAGCGAACAATGGCCACCAAAATCTCCTGATACCAATCCTTTGGACTATTGTGTCTGGAGTTTTTTGGAAAGCATGTTTAGCACCAGAAAATACCAAAGTGTCAATCACCTCAAGCAAGCGCTTCCCCGGGAATGGGCCAAAATACCGCAGAGCAACATTCGGGCAGCGTGTGATGGTTTCATTGGCCGCTTGAAGGTCATAATTCGTGGCAAAGGTGAACAATTCGAACAAATCTAAACGTAATCTAAAATTTGATGTTCTTTCCGACATTTTGTTCTTTCGTTCAATAAAATTTTAAAAAAATGTAAAAATTATGGCGTTTGACTTTGTTGCAGTTTTTTTATCTCACCCTGTATATTAATATCATCCTTCTCAACAAAGACCTAAAATGGTAAAAACTAGACAAAATGCATTTTTAGCGAATGGTTTGTGTCTACAATACATAGAGTAACAAGTCATGGCAGAGACATGTTAATATAAAAACCACAATTACAGAAACAAACAAACAAGTAACAAATTAAAATTTGAAATATCCGAAATTTTGGTTTCAAAATTCTATTCTATCGACCTTCCCAAAAATTAACATATTGCCTTAGCGTTTTAAATCAGTTAACATTGGTAACTATGTTGTTATGATATCGTAACAACAGAGGTGTTTTCACAGGGTTGCCATATTTTGACTCTGTCTTGTCCCATCTTTATACTTCTATGTCTTTGCTCTCAATACCCACAAAAGCAGAGTATGAAAATAACGTATATGAAACGTTTGTAATCATTTCGTTCTGTATTTTCTAGAAGTACGAAACATAATCAATACTCAGATAATGGGACTTTGTCATTCCGTTTGTAACATCCCTGAATAGTCGTCGTAGACCCCATTTTCACAATCAGCATAAAATTCGATTTAACGATGTCCGTATGTCTGTCTGTTGAATCACGATACAGCCCACATTATTTGACGTAGAGTTTAAACATTTGGCAGAACAATTTGTATTGTGTCTAGGATGGTTGGTATTGAAAATGAGATATATCGGTCCACGTTTTGGAAAATTCGTCATATAACGGTACCTCCCGATATTCGATATTTTGATGATTTTCGCCACATTCTTTCACGGATTTGTCTAAAAAGTAGTATTTGTTGGTCATAAAGGTTTCTAGCTCCGGCAGCAGAATATTGAATATTTAGGACCACGTTTTCCTATAGCGCACATATAACGATACCCATCGATATTCAGTATTTTGATAATCCAAGTCACACAACCACGAAATTGTTTCAAATTTTGTATTTAAGAAGAATTGGTTGTTGACAATCCTTGAAGTATAACCAGTAAAGAAAGTCTTAAAGTCGGGCGGGGCCGACTTTATGATACCCTACACCACTTTGCTAATTTAGTAGAGCTCCACATAACAATTAAAAGTTTTTATGGGAGAGTTCAATCATACACGCTATGATTTTAATTATAATTTAAAGTTCAAAGGACTAAATATGCCGAAGCATTTGTATCTTTTAAATTCGGAATTATATTGCCCATTTGGTGCACAATTAATTTGAAATCGGATAAAGATATATATGGGAGCTATATACAAATCGGAACCGATCTCGATAAAATTTGGCAAAGATATTTCTGAGCTGTATTTGATATATTTCCCTGAAAATCGTTGTTACGGGGTGCATATTACGGCTGTGGGTAACAAATATAACAAATCGGATGAACATTATATATGGGAGCTATAGCTATATAGCATTTTCAGATTAAATGAAACCTTTTGCAATTCAAATGAAACTTTTTGCAGCGGGAATGAAACCTTTTGCAGTGGAATTGAAACCTTTTGCAGTGGAAATGAAACCTTTTGCAGTGGAAATGAAACCTTTTGCAGCGGGAATGAAACCTTTTGCAACCGAAATGAAACTTTTTGCAAATCAAATGAAACTTTTAAATTTATAGAAGAAAAAAAACAAAACATTTTTATTTTTAGTAGTTTTTAAATTAAATAAATTAATTATAACTAATATATTGACAAAGAGGATTTTTTATTGATTATAAATATCTACATTAATATTATTTAATATTATTTCTTATATTTTCAATTATTGTAATAACAAATGGTTCTTTATTGATTTGATATAAAATGCTTCCATATTATTAAATTCCAAATGCTTAACGCTAAAAAGAGAAATTTAAACAAATTTTGGCCTTTATAGGTATGGCCAGGACTGAAATGTGAAATTAAGCTTCACCACATTTTTTTATAGTTATAGTATACTATTAATCTTACCTAATAAAGGATTCCCGCTTCGCAGCTTTTTTGATTATGGAGATTGGGAATCATTAAATCAACTATGATCATGATTGTATATTCTTTATGGGGTCTACGACGAATATTTAGAGGTGTTACAAACCGAATGACAAATTTAATATATCCTCCTTTCCATGGAGGAGGTAAAAAGGTACCTAATTCGGGTCCTTTGAAAAAAATGCCTTGAAAAACTTTTTTCAATCTTTCTGCATCTACACTTGTGTTTTATGGAAGCTTTAAGAAAAAATTTTATAAAAACATAGATATTAATAATCAATAAAAATTCCTCTTTAACTATATATTAGTTATAATTGGTTGATTTAATTTTAAACCTACTAAAAATAAAAATGTTTTGTTTTTTTTTTTCTTCTATAAATTTAAAAGTTTCATTTGATTTGCAAAAAGTTTCATTTCGGTTGCAAAAGGTTTCATTCCCGCTGCAAAAGGTTTCATTTCCACTGCAAAAGGTTTCATTTCCACTGCAAAAGGTTTCAATTCCGCTGCAAAAAGTTTCATTTGAATTGCAAAAGGTTTCATTTAATCTGAAAATGCTATATCTGAAACGATCTTCACCAAATTTGACATACTAGCTTCTAGACTCAATTCGGTCGTAAGTGCCAAATTCCATCCCATTTGGACAAATATTAGACGTTTGGTGCACAAAAAAGGGTAAAGCGGACGAAGTTATATATGTGAGCTATATCCAAATCTGAACCGATCTCGATAAAATTTAGCAAATGTATTTCTGAGCTGCATTTGATATATTTCCCCAAATATTGTTGTTACAGAATGCATATTACGGCTGCGGAGGACAAAAATAACAAATCGGATGAACAATATATATTGGAGCTATAGCTATATCTGAACCGATTTCGATCAAATTTGGCATACTTATTTTTAGGCCCAATTTGGTTGTATATGCAAAATTTTATACTATTTGGGCAAATATTAGACGTTTGGTGCACAAAAAGGGCAAATCGGACGAAGATATATATGGGAGCTATATCCAAATTTTGACCGATTATCTCCAATTTCAATAGGGTTCGTCCTTGGGCCAAACAAATGATATGTGCAAAATTTCATCTGGATTGGGCAATAAATGCGGACGGACGGACGGACATGCATAAATCGACTCAGAATGTGATTCTATGCAGATCATCAAAAGGAACTATGGGTCTATCTCGTTTCCTTTTGCCTGTTACAAACAAATGCACAAAGTCATAATACCCTGACCACCTTGTGGTGTAGGGTATAAAAATATCTATGGAGGTTCCCGTTTTGGTATGGCCCCCATGCCATTGAAATATTTGTGGTACTGTGCAAAACGACTAAAAAAATATATAAAAGTTTGTCACATCATGGGAGCGGTACGTTATCCGTTTCGTTTGTTTTCGTATGCTACTCAATAGTATGGTGGAAGGTGTACAAGCACGATAACCGTTGCATACTTTTAGGTTTAACTTATGGGCATTAATGCAATGTCTAATATAGTTTGGTTACATGCCAGTTATCATCTATCATATCTCAACTAGCCCATCACTCGTTTGATATGAATTGGGTATTGGTTTTGAAAATTTAATGAAACGCATTAATAATATATTATCTCTTGAATTACATCTTTAACACTGTCATGCCAGCAAAAACAAAAACACGACAAATGCAATTGTCTTTAGTATTTGTTTGAATTTCAGTTGAATACGTTGATAATAAACCTACAGCTCATAATATCGCACGAAAAAATTAAAATATGCAAAAACAAATCATCCTACTAAGCCTGTCAGCTTTGTGCTGTATTGGACTAACTATTGCATATTCGACTTCGTCTAGTCGTGACTTAATTTTGGACGATATCGATGATCCTCAAAACGTTTTAATGGAATACGGTCAGATTGCCCTGTACATGGTTATGCGTTTCATAAGTCCACGTACCAACACGCTGATTATAATGGAGAACTGTCTATTCTATTGCGATCATCATCGTCTCTATCATTCAACTGTCTTGAAGTTTTTCCTCAATAATCTGAACTATACAATGGCTACGCAGCTATATTTTGGTCAGCCAGATGAACGGCCATGGGATTACAATATGTTTGTGGTACCGACCTGGAGAGAGTTTGAGTTAAGTATTGAAATAATTTATGCAATTATTTACATTGTCGGTTTTGCTTTGGTGGTGAAACTAGCGAAAATGTGAAACTCACTCTGAGAGAGCTACTTTTCCCTGAAAGTAGAGGAATGGAAAATTAGTAAAAAAGTTAAAAAGTATTCAGTCCATTCAGCCCATATCCGTTTATTAAAAAATGTTGACCCTTTGCATTTGACCTAAGTCTGATATAAATATTGCAGCGTTTCAGGCTTTAACTGTATCGACTTATACTACTTTCTTAACGTGACCATACGTCCCGCTTTGGGCGGGACAGTCCCGCTTTGAGGTTCTCTGTCCCACTGTCCCCAGCGAGAGCAAAAATGTCCCGCTTTCGAAAATACTGGATATTGATGAAAAATACATGAGTTATTTTTTTCCCCGTGAACATATAATTTATTTGCATAGTTTTTTTCAAGCAACATTAACATTAAAATTAACTCGAAAGATTTTGTAATGCTAATGCTGGAGTTAATGTCGACGTCGTCGACGGCGTCAAATGTCAAAAAAAATGAATCGTATGAAATTTTATGAGAGCAGTTAATCTTAACGCCGTAAGAAATTCGACGCCGAAAAAGTTCAATCTGTTTCAACTTTTTCGGCGTCGTCGACGGCGTTGACATTAACTCCAGCATAACAAGGGAAATCACCAAATTAAAAATGCTTATAAAAACCGAAAAAGTTTCTGTCAGTACCCTAAGCATAGACGCTCTAAATTGTTCTGGTATCTTTTCATCGCGGAGTCGGAGAAGGCGAGCAAAGTCAAACAATTTATTTTCAATGTTAGTGATTGTAACATTACAATAATGCCTAAAAGCAAGTGTACTTTTAACATTTCTTTGCAAAATAAGTATCCATTTATAAAACAAAGAAGTGGTGAATCAGACGTTACGTGTGAAAAATGTCGTACTGATTTTAGTGTTGGACATGGTGGTGCCAGTGATATTGAGAAGCATTTAAAATCGGAAAAACACAAGCTTTCTGATCAAGCTGCCGCTTCAAGCTCGTCGATGCTTTCTTTTTTTAAAAGAACAAATTTGGCGACTTCCAAAGACTTGGATATAGCTGCAGCGGAGGGTGCGTGGGCGTACCACACAGTGCAAGAAAACCACAGTTTTCGTTCGAATGACTGTGCTTCAAATCTAATACAAACATGTTTTGAGCAAAAATTTAGACGTGCCCGTACAAAATCACAAGCTATAGTTGTAAATGTGCTGGCACCTATGGCGATGGACGAAGCCCACTGCATATCTTTATTAACCGATGCTTCCAATCATGGCTCAATATAATTATTCCCTGTTTTAGTTCGCTATTTTGTACCATACGAAGGCGTGAGAGTCAGTCTGATATAATTGTGGATTATTTGAAAGAAGTATTATCTTGCAATGATTTGAAAAAGAAAATTGTGGCATTTTGTGCAGACAATACAAACTGCAATTTCGGAGGAAAGAATAGAAAAGGGATAAATAATGTTTACGCGAAATTGAACCTATCCGTCGGAAGGCAGCTCATTGGGATTGGGTGTGGAGCCCATATAATTCATAATGCTATCAAAACAGCCGCAGATTGTCTCCCTGTTGACTTCGAATGCATCATTGTGGAAATTTATTCATTCTTCTACATCTACAGCATTCGGGTAGAAGTTCTGAAAGAGTTCTTTCATTCCACCGACACAGAGTGTCAGAAACTGTTGGGTAATGCCGGCGCTTGAGAGAATTTTAAAAATGTTTCAGCCTTTGAAAACCTATTTTCTGAGCATAGATAAATGCCCTACTATTTTCAAAACGTTTTTCGAAAATCCCAGCTCTGAATTGTGGTTATATTTTTTGCACGCACAGACAGCGATTTTTCATCAAGCCGTGTTGAAAATCGAGGGACAAAACGTGTCCGCAATAGAGTCAGCGAATGAAATTAATCGTCTCCGAGATAACTTAGAACTTAAAGAGAATTTGATTTTCCTTCCTCATTCCGTCCGCAATCTACTGGTAAAATTACAAAAAACTGACGTTGCTGCTGATGAGCAGAATGTGAAAACTGCGGCAGCGGATTTTTATAAGACAAGTAAAGAATACTTGGAACAGTGGTGCCAGTTCAATGCACAACTAGCAGTATTTGAATGGTCAAATTTGAGAAAAGTCCCTACTTGGGAAGACGTACAGAATGTGACGGATTTGCTGATCACACAAAGATTTCTTAGCAGTAGCCAAGATACGGAGGTGTTCGATGAGTTTTCGCTTATTTCCAGTTACGTCACAGTTGAAAAAATCAAAAGCTGGAACGATGAGAATGTTGCTACTGAAGACCGTTGGGTGGAGCTGTTTAAACACTTCCGTGCTAATAATCTCAACTGCACAATTATTGAGTATGTTTTATGTATGCCTGGAAGTAACGCACCTGTCGAAAGAGTTTTTTCCCTAATGAATAAAATATGGACAAGTGAAAAAAAACGCAGTTAAGTGTGACAGTTTTAAAAGCTATTTTAATTACTAAGACTAACATCAACAAACAATGTAATCAGCTCCATTCCTACTTGAAAACTAGACCCTATATTTTAAAACTAATTTGCTCTGCTGACAAATATAAAACAAATACTTAGACATAAGATTAATTTCATAAATTAGATTTATACGTATTCTCTTCGTTTTTAAAGAAAATTTGTTTTTAAATGCATAATTTTTTTTTTTTTTACAAAATTCCGCAGGCGTCCCGCTCTGACGAAAAATATAAATGGTCACATTATACTTTCTACAACTTATATTAGTTGTGTGTATATATATTCTTGGCCTGTTCTAGATCTGCAAGAATGTACAACATTTTATTATGACAACCGCTTTTCCCTTTATGATATCGAAAGAATTGCACAACTAGTAGATTCTTGCAAGTTCTGAAACAATATCTCAAAAATATCTTTAAAATTATTTAAGTTTGAATGATTTAAAAAGTTGAATCTTTGTGGGGGAGGTTCTTAAAGGAGTGGGCCAATATGTTTCATATTCATAATAGATCTAATGTTGGTGGCAGCTTCGTGTTGAGCGTGTTATTTTGCAATTTATGAGACTACAGCGTGAGATAAAAAACTGCAACAAAGTCAAACGCCATAATTTTTATACCCTCCACCATAGTTGGAGAGTATATTAACTTTGTCGTTCCGTTGGTAACGCCTCGAAATATACATTTTGGACCCCACAAAATATATATTTTCTTGATCAGCATCAGCAAAATTCTACGTCGATTTAGCTATTCTGTCTGTCCACTCTACTTTAGATTTGTTCGAATTGGTCACCTTTGGCACGAATTACGGGCTTCAAACGGCCAATGAAACCATCACACGCTGCTCGAATGTTGCTCTGCGGTATTTTGGCCCAATATTGGCAATAATGCTTCTTCAGAGATGACGGTGACAAATAAGTTGGACATGACTGTTCCCAACAGTGATCCCTGAGGAACCGGGGGACCAGTCGTTGCTCAGGTAACTTGTCATTACCTCTGACACGAAATGCTTTATACTGGAGGAAGCTTCTTACAATGCGATAGGTTAATGCATCGAATTCAAACGATTGTATTTTGTATAAAAAATCATGTTGACATACCGTATCAAAGGCTTTGGTAAAGTACAGACCAATATCTATTGTTCTCTGTCTTGACGTATGTTTTAAAATGTGCTACAGCCTGGGTTGTCGATCGTTTCGTGCCCATTCAAATTGGCAATTCCTTAATATTCTCCTCTCTTTGATAATCCTTAATGACGATAACAGTGATACCGGTCCGTAGCTCTCCCACAGTTTTGCATATGTTCGATGCATAGGAATTGGTACCACTAGTGCCTCTTTTCAAACTATTGGGAAATATACAGTTCAGACAGTGCAGTAAAAATATGATGGCTTAACGCACTTTCTTTACAACAATATCAGGTATCTTATCGATGTCACAAAACTTTTTCGGAAGTCTGGATCAATACATACATTTTCTTCCTAGCGGGATTAATTGATGATATTTTTAATATAATCCTAACATACTTACACGGGGGGAACGTGACTTTCACTGCTGTGTTGACTAGTTTGTAAAAGAAATTGTATATTACTTCTTTACAGTCCCGCCTATGGTCTGTCAGGATCTCAGCTTTTTACGTATTATCCGAGGCTTGCGACCATTGATATGTCAAAAATGTTAAAATGTTTTGACAAAAATAAGTAGATTTTTATATGTTTTCTTATACGACACAAATCGGAGGTTGTTATGATATGCATTTTTCAACAATTTTTAAAAATTGTAATAATTTTTCATAAAAATTTTCAATTACAAAATTATCAAACCAGTTCATTGTCCAAGCAGCTGCGTCGATGCGACTACATGTATTCTTCTACTATGATCCGAGGGAAACACTCCTTTTTGTTTACAATTTCTCGGCGTTTTTGACCTTCTCATATGTCTTCGAGTTCAACTCAAATCTCAGCAGCAGCTGATCAATTTACCGCACTACCACTATTCGCCGCTATAGGTCTTAGTGTTAACCAGCTTCACTATATGGAGTATTTGAATGTTAATATAAGAAGTAAAAAAGCTATAAGTTTGGCCGGACCGAACTTTGAATACCCTCCACCATTTGGTACAAATTTGGCAATTTTCAAAAAATTAAAATCCATTAAAAATTCTGTTAAAATCTTAAAAATACCGAATGTAGGCGTATTTTAGGGTCTATACGACGACGTGGACCTGCATACGGCACTTTTGTCATAAGACTGCACAGACAATTTTCTGGCATAGGATGTAGAAATCATTCATAGGATGTACGGAAAATTTTCTGTCACAGGCTGTAATATCCATTACGAAATTTGAAACAATTCCGGTAAATAATCTCGCTAAAATTATCAAAATATCGAATATCGGGAGGTACGGTTATATGGGGCTTATAGGAAGATGTGTACCTACATGGCCCATTTTCAATACCAAAAGTCTTGCAAACATAATACACATTTGAGTAAATTTTTATCAACTTACTTCATTTCGTTCGGAAGCTAGAGTGATTTCCACATTGTGGGTCTAAAATGTATATTTCGAGGTGTTACAAACGGAATGACTTTTGGACGTTTCAATAGTTGGAATGATAAATCAAATAATTGTTTTCATTTCAGAGCCCTCCAGGTGGACATTCCCAAGACATTCTATGATCGCCAATACTATTTCTTCATTGTTTTCACCTGGTTTATGCCATATCGTGATCTATATTTTGAAAATATGCGCAAAATTTTCGAAATCTGTCGCAAAATGAATGTAAAGAATGTTGTCATTATGATGCATCCGTTTGCCGAGAAATCCATAAGCTTCTACACATATTCTCTGTACACTGGAGAATACTGCAATACTGAATTGATGATCAGGGAGATCAATCGCTATAGGAATGGTAAATTGCAAAATCCCTTCTTATTTCCGGATCATATGAGAAATTTCCATGGCTGTAAGTTGACAGTTTGTGGTCATATCATAGCACCGCTGTTGACGTTCAATGGAGATCGAAACAATGAGACTCATTTGAAGGAAATGCATCGTTTGGCCGGTATCGAGGGGCAAATCTTGAAAATTGTAGCCTCAACGATGAATATCATATTGGAATATCGTTTTACATCGGATGACTACCACGTTGAGGGGGATGCGAATTTTACTGGCTGTCTTGCGGATGTGAGTATTGAATATTTTGTAGAAATTATCTATTTTCAATACTTTGCCCTTTCAGCTTTATGAAAATCGTGTCGATATGGCCATCGGGGGTCTGGGAGCACTCATTCCGAACAGCCAGAAATTCAGTATTTCTTTTACCCACCACTTCTCACCCTACGTCTTTGTGGTACGGGGAGGACGTCCTTTCGGCCCCATGACACAGTTGATGAATCCACTTCAACTCAATGCTTGGCAGGCACTTTTAGCTCAACTTTTAATAATCATCGCTCTTATTTATTGGCTGGAAAAGAGGGGCAAACGGTCGTGTCGCAACTTCATACTGGGAGCACACAATAAATATTCCATACATCATTTATTCGTAACCCTATTGGGAAGTCCTGTACCAAGCTATGCTGTACCGAGGAGAAACTTTGCCCGTTTCCTTTTTGTTGCCTGGCTTTTGTGGTCCCTGGAACTGCGTAACTTCTATCAGGGTAAAATGTTTGACACCCTTCGACTGGCCAAACGCCTACCCACACCCAAGACTATCCACGAACTTATCGATAAGGACTATATTCTACTATCGTCACACTATAAAAATTTTTATCCCGAAAATAAAACAATTATCATACCCCAGAACTCTAAACCTTTGACCATTTTGAACGGCATGGAAAATGGGGCTTTTACAACAACAGCTATTTTAGATTTTATGGCAAATCACAACATGATCAATTTCAAATCTTCGACCCTTACCTATGTGGATGAAATCATTTACCTTTATCACTCGGCCGTGTTCTTTCCGAAACATTCGATTCTCTTGCCGAGTTTTAATCGAAAATTTAAGTTACTATCCGATGCTGGTATAACCTCGTATGTGGCTCGTAAACATGTCCATCCATATTTCCACAACACCAAGGATCACATCAACACGGGAGATGTACGTCAAATTACCCATAAAAATCTGATTGGATTGTATTATATTTTCATTGTAATGAACGGAATGGCCTTGTTGTTGTTTCTCGTTGAAATTGGGACAAAGAGATCTAAGGTATTGAAATGTTTTATAGAGCGTTTAAATTGAATATTTTTTCCCTTCTGAATAAAGTTGCTTAAATGTATTGTGAAATTGTTTAAAATAGATGAGTACTGATTACGCGGGTTTAAAATAGGGTGAAGAAGTTCGTCGTAAGTGGTACTTCAAAAATTTTAAATATTGTGCTGCTTGAGCTACAATTCTAAAATGTAATATGCCACATTCTGAGAAGTTGGATCTCCAAAACCGCACTTTAAATAAGGCGGAGGAGTAGAGCTAGTATTCGAAGATTTGTCAAGAGGATCATTTACGAAAGACGCAATAAAATCACCAGATCATAAAAGGTATTAAAAACTGTGTCTCTAGTGCTAAAGAGACATATATTGTTTACATGTAATTCTACGTACGTTACTACAATAACTGATTTTTCCTTTATGATATCGAATAAAATAATATTAACAGAATAAAAATAATACAAATAAAAGTAGTAGATATTTCTTTAAAAGTTAAAGTTGGATGCGGTTGAGCATCATGCGAAATAAAAACGAGTAAAAAAGAATTAAATTGGGCCGGGCCGAACTTTGAATGCCCTCCAACATTTGGAACGAATTTGGAAATTTTCAAAAAATAAAATCAGACTTGGTACATCTCAATATTTCCATCAGCACAATATCTGTTATAAAGAAGGTAGGCCATTTCTTTTGGTAGTACCTACTCCACATAGGGCTCAAGATTTTGAAAAAGAAAACGCGCAAAGAAAGCGAAATAAGCATCCAACTCTCTTCAAATTTCACGCATACAAACATTTCTGCTAACACAAGATCTGTTGTGGAGATGGTATATATCTGCGAACCCGTTCTGGTACCTTACCCACAAAGGTCACAATTTTCAATTTATACAATTCTTTTGTGATTCTTGCTACATCTAAATATTTCTGTCAATCGGAAACCTTTAGCTTGTTTTATTCCCATTTAGATATCTAGGTTCGTTGTTTGCAGTGAACTGCAACAAAGTCAAACGCCATAATTTTTTCATTTTATTTCTTAATTTTATTGAATGAAAGCAAGAAATGTTGGAAATAGCATCAAATTGTAGAATAAGTTTAGATTTGTTCGAATTGGTCACCTTTGGCATGAATTATGGCCTTCAAACGGCCAATGAAACCATCACACGCTATCCGAATGTTGCTCTGCAGTATTTTGGCCCATTCCCGGTGATCGAAATTTGATATTTTTTATTAATAACCTTGCTTTCCAAAATACTCCAGACACAATAGTTAAACGGATTGGTATCCGTAGTTTTTGGTGACCATTGTGCGCCGGAAATGAAGCGAGGAACCTCATTTTGTAACCATTCTTAGGTGGCTGGTGCTGAGTGCTGTTGGAATGTCCAAGGTCTGCGCCCAAATTTTTTGTGTGCCCAAAACTTTAATACACCCTCCAGAATATTTTCGCGGTAATATTCGGCATTTATGCCACGGTCGATTAATACGAGCGGAGAGCGACCATCGGCTGTTATGGCGGCCCACACCATCACCATAGCCGATAACCAGCGATGCCAACTTAGTGCTTTTCGCGCTATTTATGGTGCTTTTTAGACCCCCTAAAACGCCAAAATAGTGGGCATAGCGCGAAACGAAAAAAAAGCACTGTACCTACGCTTTTCATCTTTTCTGTTGGTGCTTTTAGCGCGTTTTAGATTTTTAAATATAACAATATTTATACATTCGAATATTTTGATAGTATGACATCTACTTGTCGCAAGTTCGTTACAAATTCTTTACGTGTCATTCCTGTCATTGAAGTTCTTTTGTTTACTCTTTTTTAATAAACCATAATAAAATGAAGAATTTTGTGTATTATAAACCAATTGAAGGAAAAGTGAAATGAACGAGAAAAAAACTTAAGTTTATACATGGCTGCTTTGTTGTACGAGTTTACAAAACTTCAACTGAATTTGAAGCTATGGGTGAACATAATTGTTTGTAAAAATGTGTATGTCTGCAAGTTTTAACCACATGTAAAATGTTCCTAATATATCATATTTTTTTAAAAATATGTATGCACTTATATACATGAAATATTTATATATGTTGTTGTTTGTGAGTACTTTACCCCCCGAAATAGAATTGTCGGTAAGGTCCACAATATCGTATATCCTCAATATATCGGCATCTTCCGATATTGGGTATTTTTGTAGATTTCAACAGAATTTTTAATGGATTTTTTTTTTGTAAATTTCCTAATTCGTTTTAAATGGTGGAGGGTATTCAAAGTTCGGCCCGGCCGAACTTACTGCTTTTTTACTTGTCAGGCTTTATCTCTTTATTGTTGTTTTTATAAAAACAACGTTTGTTTAATGAAATGTTTATATAAGATACGATCTAAATTTTTGAATAAAACAGTATTTAGTTTAAAAAAAGTGTTTTATTGACAATTTTGGTTAGAAAAAAATACATAGCGCTTTTTACGCTTTTTTAAGGAAAATTTTTACGCCATTTACGCTTTTCTGGTTTTTAATTACGCTTTTAGCTCTCAAAATGTTGGCATCACTGCCGATAACACGATCATTTTGTTTGTTTACAAACTGCTGGACAACGAATATTTTCTCATCGGAGAAAACCAAATTCACCAGTTCACCACTTTCGACCAAGCGAAGGAACTCATTAGCTCTTTTGAGTCTATTTTCTATCCGTTGCTGTGTAAGTTCTTGCACTTTTCTCACTTTTTTTCAATGGCTTTACCCCGTGCTCATTTTTCATTTTTGCCGAATGGAATATTGCAAAATGTTCAGCTCACGAACCATTTTTCGGCCACTGCGACGCGGGTTTCCATCAAGTGCTTTTTTACTCTTCGAACCATTTCTGCTGATGTTGCTGTTTTCTTCCGTCCACTTCCTTGACGTTGGGCTACGTCACCAGTATCGCGGTAATGAGCGATGATACGAGACACAAAAGATTTATTTACATTTAAATGCTGGAGTACTCTAACGATAGCCATTTGTGGTTTCCAGGTAAACATAAAGAAATTACACTATCACCCTTGAATTCCATCACGAATAACTTTTTTTCTGGAAAATTCTCACCAAAATGCTTTTGTACGCTTGTAAAAATATAATGAGCTGTCACTAGAAAAATTTTAAGAGCTGTCGTATTATTGGTTTACAAATGACAGCAGTCTGAAGTTGGTTGCAGTTTTTCATCTCACCCTGTATAAATGCCTGTCAGAATTTCTCATAATGCATCAACGTTTGGGAACATTGATATGTCAATATTTTTAAAATTGTTTTTTTTTTTTCAAATATTATTGGATTTTTATAAGATTTCTTATACGAAACCAAACGGAGATTATTATGACCAATCGAAGATTATTTTTCAACATTTTTTACAAATTTCAAAATTTTTCCATTCAAAATGTTCAATTTCAAAATTGGTTTGACAGTTCATTGTTCCAGCAGCTGCGTCGATGCGACTACCTGTATTCTTCTAAATGGTAACAGTTCTTTCAGTGAGAGTTTGCAAATTCTTGCTGGACAAATTTCCTCTTGCAATCACTTGCAACTCTTCTTCTTCTCATTCATTGATATTCAATCAGATGTTTTATATTAGGTGTGTCTGGTTACTTTTCCTGCAGGAATTGTCCAGCAACATCTTTCTGAGAGAGTAAGGTAGTTTTAGTCTCTTTTTCAAGGAAAATGCGAAAAGTAAACAGACGGTATTTCTGCAGAAGCTTGCAACTAATCAGCTGATTTGTCAAAACAAACCAATTTGTCCCCAACAAAAGAATTAAACGAAAGGAAGCACCACCAATTTTACAAGTTTTATAAATTTAAAGGAAATTGACAATAAAATAAAAATATGAGCAATAAAAGGAAGATTTGATATTTTCCGCGGAATCCTTTAATCTTGTTGCTAATGGCGTTTGTCTAAAAATGTTGGAAATAGTCATTTATTTTCTTATTACATATTCATATTTATGTTTTTCACATTTTGTAAAGTTGTTCTCCAAAAACAATTAGTTTTGCTAATTCAAAAACAATATTTTTAAATTAAAAGCACAAAAAGAAATAAACAAACAATAGAAAACATCTGATTGAATGTCGATGAATGAGAAGAAGAATAGTTGCAAGAGATTGCAAGAAGCAATTTATCCAGCAAGAATTTGCAAACTCTCACTGAAAGAACTGTCAAAATTTCTCTCTCCAACCGCTCTCTTTTGCAGAACTTTCAGGTTAACAGACGACTTCCAGTAACAATTTGTAACAATTGTTACAAATTTTAGGGTATCTAGACACACATATTGTTTGCTTATTTCTTTTTGTGCTTTCAATTTGAAAATATTTTGAATTAGCAAGACTAAGGGTGCAAGTACATAAAAGGCTTGAAGTCAAGGCTAGGCATGTTAATGTCAAATTATAAACAAAATTAGCGAGAAATTTTGTTTAACGGTTTTTACAAATAAACAATCAAACGTATTATAGATATAAAGAAGAAGAGATGTATTTTAAAACATATAAGTCGTATTTACACCATTTGCAAATTAGACACTTTATGTAGCATATTTTGAGGCTGCAACCACTAATATAACATTTTAATGTGGTTACGTTTGCCTTGAAGAAGCAGGGTCAACATTAAATCGAGTTTTAATAGAAAAAACAAGTAAAAACAAGTAAGCCAAGGCTACAGTCGAGCGGGGCCGACCGTTGAATACCCTACAACACTATAATAAATGATACAGTTTATATAGGCCAGATACTCGAAAGAATTCCACAAGATATTGTGACAAATAATAAAAGAAAACCATCAGGTTTCGTTCTAATTTTCGAATAATAGCAACTTAAACTAATTTGCTCATTTCCAATTTATTGGTAGATGTTGCACGTAAATGGTCTTCCTAGATCTGGAACCAATATTTCCCAAAGACCTACAATCTCTCAGAAGTGGCAAAAGATTAACATTTATTATTGGTTTTTGACTTAAACGCATCTATATGAGATACAGACATTTGACTATATTCTTCAACGAAATCAGCGTTAACGAAATAGTCAGAAGT